TGGCAACCGACTGTGCGGGGTTTTACCCTGCATTCCCCATTTTTGTTTTTGAAGAACCTGCTTCAGAGTACCATGACCTCGTTCTACAATAGCTTGACCAGTTGGAGAATAAGGGATACCAAACCTGTGTGACACACTCCACAACTGCAGGAGCTGCTGCATCTTCTGTGATGTGTAAGCAGCACCATTGTGGTTTTTCACAGCAGAAGGTATGCCCAGAAGGGCAAAGGCCTGCCTCCAGTGGGCAAGGACATCATGGGCCTTCTCCCCAGTGTGAGCCGAAGCCCACATCGCAGAGGAGAACGTGTCCACCGTGACATGCACATACTTGAGCCAGCCAAACTCGGCAATCAGGGTGACCTCGGACTGCCAAAGCTCCAAGGCCCTAAGGCCTCTGGGGTTTACCCCTGCCGGCAAAGGCGGAGCAAGTGCATGGCAGTCATCACATGACTCAACAATGTCACGAGCCTCAGTTGGCGTCAGCTGAAACTGCTTCTGCAGGGTATGTGCATTTTGGTGGAAAACCCATGCGATGCCTTGGCCTGCGCGAGTGTATCAGGCTGAGGCGCTGCCCACACTGGGTTAGCCAGCTTGTCAGCCCTCGCGTTACCTTCCACTATAAAGCCCGGCAAATTGGTGTGACTCCTCACATAGAGAACACAGAATGGATGAACCCGGGCCTGAATGGCACACCACAAGGTCTTCAGTAAATGAAACAAGGCAGGATTACTGACCTCCTTCAAGACCGAAATACCCAACCACTGTGCGATATCAGCCACATGGGCGGAATCCATGACCCAGTTGAAAGGTTCCTGGGAAAATTTCTCAAATACCATGACAGCAGCCCTCAGTTCAACCAATTGGGCTGACCCATCCTCATGACCTTCCAGAACCTGCCACTCAGATCCCTCCCTCAAAGTAACAATGTCCTTTCCTGTTTTCCCTGAACCATCAGTGAAGACGGTGGGTCCTTGAAAGGTTCCTGACTATTTTTGGGCTGCAGAGAGATTTGTGTGAATTTTGCCATATGCAGTAGCCTATGACTGGGCAGATGATAAATGACCTGCCCGGAGAAATTTTCCAGAGTACTCTGCAGGGACACACTGTTTGCAAAGCTCCAGTCAAAATCCTCCCGTTGCACCGGGAGTATGATCTTTGCGGGATCCGCACCCAGCAATTGCAAACACCGTTGCCGGCATTTGATTATCAAGTGAGCAATCAGCTCAAACAATGCAGTTGCCGTCTTCTGCGGCTGATGGGGCAGGAAAACCCATTCCAAAATGTGCAAGGAATCGGACCATTTGTCACTCCACTGGCCATACAGAGGAGACAGTTGTGCGTCTGTCAGTCCCAAGTATGGACGTAACCAAGTACGGATGAAACCTACCAATTTCTGGGCATCATTCTGTGTCTTCACTAAATGCACAAATTGCACCTCCTGGTGACGGATTGTCCATTCCAGAATTTTGACCCCCAAATACTTCCAAGGTGGTTATTGTTGAACCTTTTCTGGAGCCACCTGCAGCCCATGAGCATGCAAAGCATCGAGCAACCGAGGCTGAATCCTCAGCAGCACATCCTGGGTGGATGCAGCCACCAAAATGTCGTCCATATAATGGTAAAGATGGGCATGAGGAAACTGCTTGCGAAAACTCCAGACAAAGTACGGGCCACATACCATTGGCATATGACGGGAGAATTTCACATTCCTTGGGACAAAACTTTCCATCAATATTGCTGTGCGGGCTCAGCATTGTTAATTGCTGGCACTGAGAAGGCAAATTTTGGTCTGTCATTGGGATGCAAAGGAATTGTAAAAAAACAATCCTTCAAATCCACGATGAGGACCAGCCAATCTGCAGGAAGCATGGTAGGCAATGGCAAGCCCACCTGCAATGTTCCCATGCTTTCCATCACGGCATTGACCTTTTGGAGGTCTTGTAACAACCTCCATTTCCCAGATTTTTTTCTTGATGCAGAAGACAGGAGTGTTCCAGGGACTGGTAGAAGGCTCCAGCTGACCCTGGTCCAACTGCTCCTGCACCAGGTTTTGAAGGGCAACCAATTTATCTTGAGGGAGGGGCCACTGGTTTTCCCAGACGAGTTTGTCCACCAGCCACCATAAAGGAGGTGTAGGACACTCTGTGCCCTTCATCGCCGTGGCCCCCATCAGAAATCCGTCCCGATGTGTCGGGTTCAGCTGTCTGTCTCTGCCCCGACACGGGTAGGGTGGTTCTTGGGTGGCACGCGTTTCAAAGGACGAGTCTGGACTCTTCAGCTTTTCGGTCTTCAGATTGTTTATTGTTTCTTATCTACAAAATTTTCTGTCTGCCCAACAGAGGTCTGATCTGCAAGGCAGCCAAGGGCACTCGTGACCACCCACAGGGCGGTCATGTCTTTTTATACTAAAATCTACGTACATGATATTTACTTTTATTTTCCAATACTTTTCACCCATGTTGGCAAGTGCACTTTCACCATAAACCAATCCCCAAGTGCCAACATCACCACAGGAGATGGAAGACAAGAAGAAGAAAGAAGAAGGACGAGACACGCCCTGATCCCTCCATCTTGTCCCCATAACCCCCCTGTACCAAAAACCTTAAAGTTTATATTTCACCCTATAAATGTGTCCCTTTTACACCCTTCACTCGAAAGTGATTCTCATGTCCTCAAACTGCTGTCACTTCTGTGGATGGATCAAAATCAAGTCACCAAGCACTCTTGGCAACATTCCAGGATTTCTGAGACCCCCAAGGGTTCTCTTGGCATCTCTGGACATCGGGAGCGATGTGCTGAGATCCCACATCTCCCCCTTCTGTTTGTACTAAGAAGACTTCTTTGGCAACTTGACTCATGACACGTCGCACACATAAAAAGATGCATGGGACGATGAGCATGAGGACTAAGAATATTATTAGAATATAAAATTCCATTTTTAAAAACTCTCTCTATAAGGGAGAAAGATCAAAAAATCCTGCCACATCATCAATCTATGACTCAGTGATTTCGCCGAGTTTCTTTATACTGTCTTTTATTTTTTGAATACTTTCATGAATTGATCTTGAATGATCTGAGAGGTTCATGCAGCACATTCCCTCAAACTCTTCACATCCATGTCCACGAGCAAGCAATAGATAATCGATTGCTGCTCTGTTTTGAAGAGTTGCCTCTCTCACACTACTTATGTCTTTTAACATATCACTCAAAGCGAGAGAGACTGATTGAGCATGCTTGCTCAACCAACAACTCATGTGGTCCAGTTGAGTCAAGGCCACCCCCGACGCTGTCTGAGGTGAGAAAATTGCTGCCACAATTCTCCTTGCTTTGTCCCAGGTGTATACTTCATCATCACAGTTTGCACTGTAATGTTGCAAGGACCTTTTCTCTTTATGTTTTTGCTCTCTCAATACTTTCAAATCTGGTGATAACATTGAAATCCTCCCAATGCTGCATGGACCTCCCTTGGCATTTGCAGGAATGCTGTGCCAAATTCTGTCTCCACAAATTAAAAACAACCCATGTGGCAATTGCATTGGGACCTGGATTGATCCTTTGGCTGTCATCTCGGTGTGATTGCACCAAGCTGACGCGTTTCTATAAAACTTGTGATTTGGAGTGACATCAATGCTTTTGTTTGTCCTTGACACATTTGAAATTTCGAATTTCATGCATAGTTTCATTGTTGTGGACCCAAAAATTTCCAATTCCTGCGGTTCGGTAGAAGCCACAGGTAAAAGATGTGTCCAAGCACACCATTCATTCACAGGATCTTTGATGACCTGCGAAATCTCCATTGGAGAGTGTCCTGGAATTGGCCATTCGTCCACTGGCAACCCAACCATGCATGCTGTGAATGGTTTCCCTGGTTTTGAATGTGTCAGGCAGATACTTTCTAAGTTCGCTGCCTGGGCTAAAGTTTCCCAAACATCTTGTTTTGGTTGATTGATGGGTAAATTTGCTCCATTGCTTAAAGCAACAGATGAAAGCATGAGCATCATGAAGCTCATGACTTCATCCTTATGAAAAATCATTGTCATGCTCTCACTCAAAGCCACAAAGGAAAAACCCCCAAAGTTTTTATTCTTTTTGTCCCTCTTCTGAGTTGTTGCTCACAACTTGAGTTTCTTCCTCCGTCTGCGTGCTCGTTTCTCTGCTTCTGGGATCAGTGCCCTCTCGCTCTCTTGTCCGAAATGGCTTCACGTGTCGTGCTGACACCCACTTCAGACCTCGCCCTGTGGAAACACAAGCGAAACCCTTGCCCCAAGTGATTAGTTTGAAAGGACCCTCTATTTGTCCTGTCTCTGGGTTTCTGATCAAAACCAAAGGATTCTCCCTTAGTTTTGCCTGAGAGCTGTTTGAAAAATGCCTCACGATTGGTGGATTGGGTTCAGAAGACGAACTGTTAAGAAAATTCAACACATACAATGCTTTGTTTAACTTCATGTGTGGTGTTGCCTCTGGCTCCCCCCTTTTCTGCCTGTCCAAAAGGGATTTCAGGGTGTGGTGTGTTCTTTCAATGATTGCCTGACCTGTGGGTGAATGTGGAATGCCAAATGTGTGTCTGACACCCCATCTTTTCAGGAATCTGTCAAGCACCCTGCCTGTATATGTTGGACCATTATCTGTTTTTATTTCTTGAGGTACACCTAATGATGCAAATGCTTGCAGGAAATGTCGACAAGCATGTTCTGCTGTTTCCCCTGCATGTGCTGAAGCAAAGACTGCCCCTGAGAATGTATCTACTGAAACATGAACATTTTTGGGTCTCCCAAATGATGGATATTTTGTGACATCTCTTTGCCACAGCTGAAGACTTTGCAGTCCTCGTGGGTTGACTGCTCCTGTTGAAGCGGGTGGCTGCACAAGCTGACAGTCTGGACAAGCACTAATGATTTCCCTCGCCTGAGTTTTTTGTGAGACGAAAGGATTCCATCAGCGCCTGCGCATTCTGATGAAAAAATGCATGACTCAGTCGTGCTTGCTCAAAAATGTCTGGAAGTGTTTGTGAAATGGTCATTGTCAATCTGTCTGCCTGAGCATTCCCTTCCGCTAGAAATTCTGGAAGTGTTGTGTGCGCTCTGATGTGAGTGATGAAATATTCTTCTTTCCTACTTTCTAGCACTGTTTTCATGCTTGCCAGATATGAATATAAAACTTCTCTGCTGACTTCTTTCAAGAGCGAACCTTCCAATCATTTGACCACACCTGCAACATATGCAGAGTCCGTGACCAAATTGAGCGGTTGTTGGAACAACTGAAATGCTCGGACAACAGCTGCCAATTCCACAATTTGTGGAGAGCCTTGAACTGTCTTCACGTCTGAGTCCCATTCCCCTGTCGTTGAGTTCATCCACGTGATCACTGACTTGTGTGTCTTCCCTGAGCCATCAGTGAACACTGTGATCCCGTCCAGAGGTTCTTCACTTATTTTTGGCTTTGCTCTGTAGCATATTTGCGACTGCAACATTTTGTGTTGCGGAAAATTGATGGTGCAAGCTCCTGGAAAAGCTAACAAGGCAATTAACAAATCTTTTGATTTCTGCATTGCCCAATCGAAATAATCTTTCTTCAAAGGCAGATAAATCTTTGAAAATTCTCGTCCCGCCATTGTCAGCAATCTTGTTCTCCCCTTTATGATGATCTGTGCTGCCATCTCCAAATCTGTCAGAATTGTCTTTGAAGGCCTATACGGTAAGAAAACCCACTCTATGATTATCAAAGGATCTCTCTGAGACGCATCCCATTGGAAGATCAAACCATGGAATTGCGTTTTCTTTCCCAGCACTGCCAACTGAAAAGGCAACGATTCAACGAATCGATGTGCTTGTCTCTTCTGAATAGCATCTGTAACTTTCTCCAACTCCTTCTTCACTTCCCATGTGAGTGTCCTGGGAGATCGCATGTCTGTGTCTCCTCTCAAGAGATCGAGCAACACTGGAATGTCGCTGTTCGTGATTCCCAAAATTGATCTCATCCAGTTGATCTCTCCTAGAAGTTGTTGTAAATCATGCAGATTGTTGACTTTTGTGCTGATCTCCATCTTTTTGAGGTCTTACAGTTTTCTCTGAGATCTTCCACCCTACATATTTCCAAGGCGCGACCTCCTGAATCTTTGAAACACTGTTTTCCAGACCTGCCTTTTGCACTTCTGCAATCACACAGTCATGAGCCTTTTGCAGCTCTTGTTGTGTCGATGCCGCAATGAGCAAATCATCCATATAGTGAATGATTCTCACCTTCGGGAATTTCTTCCGCGCTGGTGACAAAGCTCGTGCCACGTACCATTGACAGATTGTCAGCGAGTTCTTGAGGCCTTGAGGAAGGACCACCCAATGGTACCGCTGCAGAGGCGTTTCCTTGTTGATACTTGGAACTGAAAAGGCAAGCCTCGGAGCATCATCCGGATGAAGCGGAATGCTGAAGAAACAGTCCTTGAGGTCAATGACCACAAGCGGCCAATCTCTGGGAATCATTGAGACTGAAGGAAGTCCCAGCTGAAGCGGTCCCATGTCTTCGAGAACTTCATTGATCTTCCTGAGATAGTGCAACAGTCTCCATTTGCCTGACAGCTTCTTTTTGATGACAAACACTGGAGAGTTCCAAGGGCTGTTTGTTGGCTTGATGTGTCCCTTCTGCAACTGTTCTTGGACCAGGGTTTTCAATGCACTCAACTTTTTCGCTCCAGGGGCCACTGATCCACCCAGACTGGATCATCCGTTTTCCAAGTCAACTTCAATGTGGCGAGTGCCGCAGTGACCCCGACTAAAAATCCACCTCGATCTTCGTGCCCCATTGTGCCAAGAGATCTTGTCCCCAAACTGTGATTGGCTTCTGCACAACGAAAGGACGAATGATCGCCGTCTTGTTTCCTGGTCCCATGACAATGATGGCATTCTCACTCTGCAGACACAGAGAAACTCCCCCTATGCCTGAGAGAGATCCCAAGGGCACAATCAAGCTCCAGTTGCGAGGCCAAAAGATGTAAGATATTACTGTGACATCTGTCCCTGTGTCGAGCATGCCTCTGACCTCTATTGTTCTGTCTCCACAAGTTAATTGGCATGTGAGCGTGGGGCGGTCTCGACCTATGTGCTTTATCCATGTAGTGTGTATTTCAACATGCTCCTTCAAAGGAAGCCCTTCTTCATCGAAAATTGACATGACTTCTTCAATGGCGTGTGGTGGCAGAGCAAAAGCTCTTGCGATCTGAGTGTTTTCCGCCACGGTCAATGGTGGATGAAGCACTTTTGCCAGAACTGTCAATTCCGTATTTTTTTCTGCGGAAACAACTGATGGATAAACAATAAGTCCAAGGATTCTGCTCCTGTCTTGTTCTATTATTAAGAAATCTTGTTTTTTGTATGAATCTCTGCGTATCCCTGTTGGAACCTCTGCATGACTTTCATCCAGAAAGCAAATTAATTTGGAAGTTGTCAGTGTGCACTGTGCTCCTGGTGGAAGGAGGTCTGGGTCGCTTGAGAATCGACTGAGGAGTTTGCTGAGGGCGTCTGCTTGACATTCCCCGATGACTGTTCTGTTTGCTGTTGTGTCACCGCCATCACTTGTGTTGACGCACACTGACAGTTTGCGGGCGCGCTCCTTCTCCCGTTTCCCAGATACGGTAAAGGATTCCCTTCCACGTCTGTCTGGGAATAACATTCTTTCACAGAGTGTCTTCCTCTTCCGCACCGCGCACAGAGTGGCTTTGCAGGTTTTTGTGTCTGCACCTGTGGGTGTGCATGTGGACAATTCTTCTTCAAGTGTCCAAACGCCCCACATTTGTAGCATTGTCCTCCCGATGGATTGTTCTTCTTCTGGATGGTTGCAAGAACTTTATTTATGTTTTCATTCTGTTGTTGGAGTACCTTTTCCAGCATCTTTTCAACTACCTTGTCCTTATCTTCTGACTGCCTCTCCGGGTTTCTTCTTATCTGTTCTTCCCATTCTCCTCTCAGCTCGTCCCTCACGATCGATGCGACGTACTGAGGTGTTCCCACTCTGCTGCATGCCTCCACCATCTCTGCCAAGGATGGCCATCCTGGCATTGCGCTGATGACCCGTTGACAATCCTGGTTGGCATTGCCGAAAGCTAAACTTTCCATGAGAGGTCGCTTCGCCTCGTCAATCGTCACCTGTCGATCCACAGCTTGCGAAAGTCGATCTATGAAAGATGAGAATGGTTCTGTGGGACCTTGCCTGACGCATGAGAATGGGACGTCCGGAACTCCCGCTGGAGCAATCTGCAAGATCTCTTTGTGTGCTGCTTCTTTGATGTCATTCAACACCTGTCGTGGAAGCCGTGCTGCTTGCTCCACTGGACTGTCATCTGGAGGATCTCCTGCCAACTGTGATTCTGTGAGATTTGCATTTGGCCCACCTTGATAGCTGGCTCTCAACTCTGTGAGATATCTTCGCCATCTTCTGTCCCAGATGAGACTTTGTGTGTCAGTGAGAATCATTGACACAAGACATCGAATGTCAAATGGCGTGAAATCATACGTATTGAATGTCCCCTTCAGGAGCTGTTTTAAGAATTGTGAATTCAGACCATTGTTCTGAATGGCCTTTGATAAGTCTTTGATCACTTCATGACCCAAGCTTTCCCACCTTGGATTTTGACCTTGTGCATCATATGTCACTGGCATTATTATGTCTCCTGATCCTCTGATCAGACCCTTTTCTTTTGATAATTCATTTCTAATTTCCTTCCAGTCTATTGGTTCTATTGGTCGTTCTTCTTCCTCCTCTGGAAACTCCATTGGTCATTGCCTGCACAATGGAATCGTGGAGGCTCTTGGTGATCCTTCGCTCCATGTTCTTTGACTTGAGGTTTTTGGTCTTGCTCCTAAATCTGAAAAAGAAACTTGAGATTCTCTTGAATGCGTTCTTTTTGCTGCATCAAAAGACTGCAGAAGATTTCTTGCTGCTTCCGCTGCTGAAAGCATCCATGCTGGAATTCCCTCTCTTGCTGTAATGTGTATCATTTCTTCTCCTTGAGGCTGTGCTTCATCTGAGCTGTCTTCAACTTCATATGATCCTGAAGTTGATGGAAAATTATCCTTTTGTTGTGTTGTTGTTGTTGTTTTTGTTTTCTTTAATGTGGTTTTCTTTTTATATATCGTTGGAAAAAATTGTTGCATTGTTGCAGTTTGGCCAGCAGGTGATGTGGTGGCGCTGTCGAGCAGGTCTGACATGTCCTGCAGTGTGGTCATCCCTCCACGAGGTGGCGCTGTCATCTGCCTGGACGACCGTGATGACGACACGAACTCGATCGGTTCCTGCTTGTCAGACTGCAACGCTTGCAATCGTGTTTGAGACCGAGTTTGCATGGCTGTTGACTGAGCTGGCATTGAGGGTTGAATACTTGAATGTTTCTTTTGAGTGGAAGAGGTTTGAACTATAGGGATTGAGGCTAAAGGCATCGGGACCGGAGAGGGGGTGGAGCCTCGGGATGTCGAACTCCGACCGTGGCCCCTCCTCTTTGCCCGAGACGTCACAGGGGATGGGACCCGCGCCCGTCTTCGCTCTGCACGCACTTTCCCCGCACGCGCATGCGCGCCTTTGGGAACACCCCCTGCCTCCCCTGTACTGACGTCACTGTCTCCATCCCGCTCCACCTCTGAAGTCTCCTCCTTATTGTCTGTTCTTGTCTTTCTCTCCTCTTCTTCTGACGCTGTATCCACACCCCCCACCGGAGCGCGCGGCCCTCCCCCTGCCAGTATCCCCTTTCGTGCCGCGATTCGAGCCGATTTCTGTGTCCAGATTTCTGGGTCTGATGTCACAACTGCGCGTCCCCTGCGTCCCCCTACGGTAGCCGGCTGGAGCCCTGCAGCCGCCCTGCCTTTGCTACCCGTGTCTGATGCTGCCGCGTCGGTTTGAGAGCCCTCCCCGGCTGTCCCGCGAGCCTTGCCCCTCGCGCGCACTTTTGGCACCGCGCCAGCCGAGGCTGCCGCCGCTTTCGGCGTTGCGCTCGCAAAAGCCGCACCAGAACCCGTGTCTCCCATCGCTTCCGTGCTCCCCCCTCTAGCCGCCACCGCCTGCTGCGAGAGAGCGCATCCCCCCCTTCCCTCTTGTTCCCTTTCAACTCCCCTCCCCGACTCTGCCACTTTTGCCACTTCCTCTCCCTCTGACTCCTGCGAATCAGGGCGGTATGCTCCTAAAGAGCGACCTGTCTCCTCGATATCGCTGGGAGAAAACTTCATTTCATCAGGGAGTGGAATGGTATCACCTGTGCCTGAGTCGGAGCCTGAAGCCCCTGCACTCTCTGGGGTCTCAGGACACTTTGGGGTTCCCTTGGGTCTTCGGGATGGTGGGACTGAAGGCAATGACATTTTTCCTTGTCCCCCTTTTTCGGGCACCTTTTTCCCCGGGCCAATCGGGATCAGAGCCAATCTCCGTTTCGAACTTTGCTCTCCTCCCTCCGCCCCTGTGGGACTCGTAACAAGTTGTTGCCTGGCTGACCCCCTAAATTGAGTCGAGGTCGCCTCTAACATAATTCTTGCTGAAGACAGCAATTTCAAGGCTGTCTTATCATCATTGGTGGCTAAAAAATATAGGTGTCTATTAACTTCTTGCCAAAAACCTACTTCAAATAACAAACCCATCTCTGAGTATGGGTAATTACACCGCACCCACAACAATAACTCTCTACGTTTTTTCTTTGGGATCCCCTTAGTGTGTGTGTCTGCCACGCCCTGTAGGTCGGACAGAACCTCTAATTGTTCCTGGGACAGTACACCCCCCCATGTTCTTAATTCTTGACCTTCTTACCGAATTTGTCGTCAGAGCAGTCCGAAGGCTCCTGGTCACTGCCCGCAGATCACAGGAGATGGATTCAGAGGCGCCTTTCTGATTCGGATCCGGGCTGTCCTGCTACGAACTTTCTTTGGCCGAAGTGGAGTGCGATGTTCTCAGTGGCTGCTGCGTCTTCAGACTCTCCTGGCTGCTTTCTGGCTGCTTTCCCGAGGAGTTATCAGTGCTCTCCTGGGAATGAGTCCAGCTCTGGAGCTGCCCACTCGGCACTTCTAGCCTGCCCCTGTGCAAGAGGTGCACACCAGAGCTCACCGTGGCTCAGCAAGTGCCCGCCGGATGCTGCTGGGTCGCCGGTCGCCGCCGGGTAGCCCCCCGGATCACCCACCGGGTGCCCACCCAGGGACGCCAAATGTCGGGTCCGGCTGTCTGTCTCTGCCCGGACACGGGTAGGGTGGTTCTTGGGTGGCCCGCGCTTCAAAGGATGAATCTGGACTCTTCAGCTTTTCGGTCTTCAGATTGTTTATTGTTTCTTATCTACAAAATTTTCTGTCTGCCCAACAGAGGTCTGATCTGCAAGGCAGCCAAGGGCACTCGTGACCATTCACAGGGCGGTCGTGTCTTTTTATACTAAAATCTACGTACATGATATTTACTTTTATTTTCCAATACTTTTCACCCATGTTGGCAAGTGCACCTTCACCATAAACCAATCCCCAAGTGCCAACATCACCACAGGAGATGGAAGACAAGAAGAAGAAAGAAGAAGGACGAGACACGCCCTGATCCCTCCATCTTGTCTCCATAACCCCCCTGTACCAAAAACCTTAAAGTTTATATTTCACTCTATAAATGTGTCCCTTTTACACCCTTCACTCGAAAGTGATTCTCATGTCCTCAAACTGCTGTCACTTCTGTGGATGGATCAAAATCAAGCCACCAAGCACTCTTGGCAACATTCCAGGATTTCCGAGACCCCCCAAGGGTTCTCTTGGCATCTCTGGACATCGGGAGCGATGTGCTGAGTTCCCACACCGATGTGCACCCTCCACATGGACAGAACATCCCTTCCGTAGAGGTTAGCAGGAATTGAAGTAACATGAGGCCAAATCAAGGCTGTTTGTCCCTCTGTGTTTGTGACCAGCACGGGCCACTGGCTCACGTAACATTGCAGCGTTTCTCCCAATCCCGAGACAGGCGTCTCCACCCGATCCAAGAGCCAATCTGGGGGCCAGGCGACAAAGGAGAGAACTGTGACGTCAGCACCGCTGTCAAGAAGCCTGCGGAGATGGATCTCTGGAGGTATCGCACCAGGGATGGACACGGTTCACAGCATCTCAGGACTTTTTTTGGTCAGGACAGCAGCCCAGTGAACTTGAGGCGGCCCAGTGGATCCAAAGCCGCCATCTCCACATGACCAGTCAGCTGTCCTGCGAACAGAAGACTTAAAAGGCACAAGTTGAGCAATCCACATCCCTTCTGGGATAGTGATGGGGGGCTGGGTGTGGAGACCATGGCACAAATCTGTCCCGTGAAATCTGCATCAAGGAGTCCCATGTGCACAATGATGCCCTGAAGGGTGGCACTAGATCTCCCCATAAGGAGAGCACTCATGCCCTCACGCAAGAGACCAAAGGCATCCAGGGGAACCTTGTGTATGTTGCAGGACTCTAAGACAACTGTTGCTGCTGTGTAGACAGCAACACCTGCTGAGCTGTGGATGCTGGCTGCAAGCCGCCTAAGCAGAGCTCCATTGGCACAGGGGTCTGGAGAGAAGCTTGTGTCTGGGTGTGTCTCCCCTTTGCGCTCCACTTCTTATTTCCCGAGCCCAGCAAAGCCTGGCCTTTAGCATAAACAGTCACCTTACAGACATTTGCAGCCTTCCACACCAACCACACAAAACCATGGGAGTTTTGACTTTCTGTGCCTTCTTTCCCTGTTTCTTGCTGGCCTGAGCATTGCCCCGCTGTCACTGCCTGCCCTGCAGCACTGCCCAGACCGGCTGCACAGCAGTAGCCACGGCAGCCATCTTCTGACCTGAGGGGCCTATCCCTGCACAGGCCTGTGCCATCTGGGAGACAGAAGGATAACCAGGAAGGGCCTCCATGATTCTCCTACAATCGGCATTGCAGTTACATCTTGCAAGCTGTATAAGCACAAGCCTCCTTGCCTCAGGATCTGCCACCTGCTTCTCCACAGAGGCAGTCAGCCTACCTGCAAATCATAGGAAAGGCTCATCAGCCCCCTGGACAACAGTCACAAACGACTGCTTTGGAGCAGTCATTTCTATGGTCTGAACCAACGCTGTCATGCCCATTGTCTGGCACTGGTCAAGCATGAGGGGATTGAAGGCAGCTTGCCCCTGAGGATCAGCATAATTGCCTGTGCCCAACAGCACATCAGTGCCAATCACACTCCTGGGATCCTGCATACCCAGCGTAGCATTCCGCTCCACTGCCCTGGCTGCCAACTGAGACCATTTAGACTCAAAAATGTTGAATTCCGCAGGCAGAAAAAGAATGTGTGCCATAGCATGGATGTCATGAGGCATCAGCACATCAGCAGCAATCACTCGAAGCAGCTGCATGACTTCAGCAGACCCCAGACCATGTTGCACAACTGTACAATGGAGTTCCTTTGCAGTCTTAAATGATACAGGTTGATGAGTGTTATGAGTAGCACCCCTAAACACAAGGAAAGCCTGGGAACCCCCTGGTAAGGTTGCAGCACCTGCCGAGTCCCATCCCGTGGGCCCCAGAGAGACAGAGGCAGATGCCGGACTGGGAGGCAGCTCAACACCACTTGACACCCTGTCCCCTGCAGCATCAGCAGGGCCAGAGGATCCTCCTCTGCTGACGCTGCGCCAAGGCACAATCAACCCTTTCTTTGACCTTAGCTTTGACTCCTCACCAGAATCGCCTGTGTTCCTTCAGATGCACGGTCACCTGACATGGGAGGAGTGTCCACGAGGCCAAAGAGGAGTGTCCATGGCCCTGGGAAACCACCGGTCTCCTGCCGGCCGCGTCAGCATTCACGCTAAAAGTGAACACCTCAGCATCCTCATGTGCTGCAGCCTTGGCATCCGTAGGAGGCAGGGGCAGCGGGGCCGAACCAGCCCCAGCAGAGGTCGTGCCTGCCGGCAGCCCAGCAGTGCTGTCTGGGCAGCACGGGCAGAGGGCACCGCGGCAGACGCAGGTGCTGGCACCACTCGCAAACCCGGTGCGGATCAGAACGAGATCTGTGCAGGGGAGGGGTGGGGCACAGAGAGAGACGCAACTCGCGGAGCTACATCACCGTGGGGTGACACAAGGGCATCCGGAACTGCCCCATGAGAGTTCTGCCCGGGACACAAAACCCCACAGTGGGCACCGCCCCTGGCGAGTGGAGTGGGGCGACCTGCCCGGCCACCGTGGCAGGGCCTGTCAGAACACGGACCAACACCCTGCCTCCGGCAGCTTCCACCACCTGCACATGCCCAGCTGGCTGTGGAGACTCAGAAACGGGGGAAGCCGCCCCCCTGCAAAGACGAGACCGGTGGCAAAGTGGATGAACTCGCTCCCACCATGCCCGGGGTATTTTGTGGAAACTCCGCAGTGCAAACAAAGTGTTGGTGCCGGGAAGGCACAAAGGGAGGGCACCTTCCCCCTGCCTCGCTGCCTTCGCAGGGTGGGGCAGGGTGGGGTCGGCTGAGCCAACTCCACAGGGCCCCCAGAAACCTGCGGGGCTCTGTCCACTCCCTGGCTGCTCAGAATCAGCTGGCTGGGAGCCCAATCCACCCTGGGGGAACAAACGTCGCCATCTGAGACGGAACCATCTCCCAGTTCACTGTCCTGGTGGGGGAGGGTAGGGTTCTGGCTTGCACAGAAATTCAAACTCCCTCTTGTCCACGTCCGAGACAGAAGGGTCCCCCTGGGAACTCCAAGAGCTACAAAAGCCAAACCCCCAGCAAACCACATCAAACTTTTTTCACTGCACCAGCAGTGATCCTCCATCTATAGTACAATCATCAAAGAGGGCTTCCATGAGGCAGTCTCCCACGAGAGACCACGCCTCCCTGGAGAACACCTCCGCAGGGTCTGAAAAAACCCCTTGCTGTCTGGCCCACAGAAACAATCATTCAAAATCACTCCAGGAAACGGAAGCCCGTTTCTGCTCCATGAGACCCTTCCAGAGTCCAAAACCAGAAGATCCTCCATGAAACCCACAGGGGTTGCTGTTATCACAAGAGCTGCAGGCAAAGTGCCAAATGGCTCACAATTACCACACAAAAACAGGAAGGGAAGGTAAACGATACGACCTCACCCACGGCAGTCACCAGACCCTGTGCCTCCAGCCTAGACTGCAGTACACTTCTGTGGTCACCAGATGTAGATCTAGGACACTGGACTCTCCAAGGTAAAAAGAGGGAAATTTTAATTCTGATGCCAGCATTTATAGATTTCCAAAAATGACAGTGGATTGGAGGATGACAGTGCCACCTCTCCAATGACACTGGATAAACCAACAGTCCATCAAATTTCTCCTCCTCCAGAAAAGAAAGCAAAGCAATAAGTATTTACAGAAAAGCACATGAGAAAGTTCATTACAAGAATGTAAACATCAGAAGGCTTAGAAGAATTAAAAAAAACCAGGGCAACACTTCACCTCTGGTCCTGTCCTGACTGGGCCAAGGGCTACTGCATGAGCGACCTTGATCTGGGCAAAGGCTTGTTGCTGCTCAGGGCCCCAGTGGAAATCGTTCTTGTTGCAGGTGCCCAGGTGAAGAGGGCTCACGATCTGATTTTACTCAGGAATATGCATTCTCCAAAAACCTATGGTGCCTAGGAAAGCTTGTGTCTCTTTCTTATTGCTTGGTGGAGACATTGTGCTGATCTTGTTGATGACATTGGTAGGAATCTGACGCTGTCCATCTTGCCACTTTACTCCTAGGAACTGAATCTCACGAGCTGGTCCCTTTACTTTGCTCTTTTATGATGGTGAAACCAGCTCCCAGGAAGATTCAGATGATTTTCTCTCCTTTCTCAAACACTTCTGCAGCTGTGTTTCCCTACACAATGATGTCATCAATATACTGTAAGTGTTCTGGAGCCTCACCCTTTTCCAGTGCACTCTGATCAGTCCATGGCAGATGATGGGACTGTGCTGCCACCCCTGGGGCAGTCAGTTCCAGGTGTACTGCACTCCCCTCCACGTGAAAGCAAACTGAGGCCTGCATTCTGCTGCCAGAGGAATGGAGAAAAATGCATTGGCTATATCGATAGTGGTGTACCACTCTGCTGCCTTGGACTCAAGCTCGTCCTGGAGCTCTAACATGTCTGGCACGGCAGCGCTCAGTGGTGGAGTCACCTCATTCAATGCACGGTAGTCTATGGTCAATCTCCATTCTCCTTCAGATTTTCGCACAGGCCAAATGGGGCTGTTGAAGGGTGAATGGGTCTTGCTGACCACCCCTTGGCTCTCCAGCTCTTGGATCATCTTATGGATGGGGATCACAGCACCTTGAGTTTTGTTCTGTACTGTCATCGATGCACTATGGAAGTGGCAATTGGCACTCGTTGCTCTTCTCCCTTCAGAACTCCAACTGCAGATGGATTCTCAGACAGCCCAGGCAAGGTGTTCATTTGCTGCATGCCCTCTGTCTCTACAGCAGCTATCCCAAATGCCCACTTGAGTCCTTTTGGGTCTTTGAAATACCCACTTCGGAGGTAATCTATGCCCAAAATACATGGGGCCTCTGGGCCAGTCACAATAGGATGTTTCTTCCACTCATTCCCAGTCAGGCTCACCTCAGCTTCCACCAAAGTGAAATCCTGGGATCCCCCTGTCACACAGCAATAGAAACAGACTCTGTCCCCACATGTCTCGACGGAATTAATGTACACTGAGCACCAGTATCAACCAAAGCTTTATACTCTTGTGGCTCCGATGTGCCAGGCCAACGAATCCACACAGACCAGAAAACACAATTTTCCCTGGCCTCTACCTGGCTAGAAGCAGGGCCCCTCTAAGCCTGGTTATCCTTCTTTCCCTGGGCATATGTCTTGGATGTTCCTTCAAGGGGATCAGACATGGCATCATCAGCATCATACCTGATGCTGCTTTCTTCCTGGTGGCTTCCTTCAATTCACGCACCCGTCATGCCAGAACAGCAGTAGATTTTCCATCCCATCTCCTCATGTCTTCTCCACAATCACGTAGGAAGAACCACAGCTCAGCTCCTGGGGTGTACCCTCTCTCTCCATCTGGGGAACGTCTGCGTTGGGTACCAGAACCTCTGATCTGTACTGTTGAGATCTGGAGAAGGTCTTCTTTAATCTCCTCTCTGAGCTTCTTATGATTCTCCTCTATCTTGTCCTCTAATTTCTGCAGACGTGTTTCCACTGCTGCGATTCTGGCATGTGTTGGGCCATGTACAGCATCTGCATATGCTCGGAGCTTCCTTGCCATGTCAAGCACAGTCTCATCCCTCTCATCCCTCTTCATTATGGCTAAGGCAGAAGCATATTCATGTGGCCCAAGTCGCACAAGTTTCCGCCACATCACAGACGTGCATGGCACCAAGGCTGGATTCCTAATTGTTATGTCAACTGAGAAGATAATCTCTGCCACTGCCATTTCTCTCAGGCGTTGGATCCCTTGCTCTATGGCCTTCCACTGAGTTTGCTGCATATAAAGATCATCTGCACACAGGTATCTTTGTGCTACACTTTCCAAGACCTGTGCCCAGAGGCTGTGAGGGTTTGCCCCCCTCATCATTCCTTGGTTGATGACAGGATAATGTGACAGGGATTGCAAATGCCTCACTTCAGTGCCATCCAGAATTGTAGCCTCACCTGCAGCATCCCAGAGATGGACTAACCAACTAATTATGGATTCATCAGGTTGTCGAGTGTAATCCTTCCGTAGGCCACGAAGGTCCTTCAGGGAAAAGGACTCAATATTGGCTTCTGATCTTGCACCTGCTGCTTTGACTCCTGATTTTATGTCAGGAAGCATTGAGGGTCCTTCTCCTGCACCATCATCATCCACTGGTGGATTAGTCTTGTCTGTGCATTTCCCACTTCTAGTGCTGGTAGCAACAGCCATTGGTTTAGCTGCTGGCTCAGGCTCACTGTCTGGTTTGGCTGCTGGCTTCAGGCCTGGGGTGTTGGCTGCAGCCTGAGTGACTGGGACAGCTGCTGATTTATCTCCCTGCCCCCCTGCCTCTGTCTGCTGCCCTACAGTATCTAGCAGTGTGTGATAAGCATATGCCAGGGCCCAGCTCACTGCAATGATCTTTCTCTCCTTAGGCTCATCCTGGTATTTCTCTTTCAGGTATTTCCCCACCTCAGCTGGCTTCTGAATTTGTTCATGGGGAAAGTCCCAGACTATAGGGTCAGAGAATTCCTTCAGGATTTGGCCCATATCCTCCTATTTCCCACCCCACTCAGGATGTTCCACGCCTGGGTCTACTCCTGAGTCAGGGGTCTCATCAGCCCGTCTAGAAATCTCAGCCCTCATTCCAGAGAAGCAGCAGACTGTATAGAGGAAGGTTACCAGACTGAATACCAGAAAGATGGTTTCTTTACCATTCAGGGGAAACTGAACATCCTTCACTACTGATGCAACTGATTCATAGGAGAAGAAGGAAAGCAAAGGCTGAAAAGCCTCATTCCCTGCTCCTCCTCTAACAAACTGGATGAATAACCATAGCCAGGAACCATTCATACCTGGAGCAGACCCCAACGTGTTTATAAACTTCTTGCAAATCATTGCCATCAAGTCCAGCAGGAGAGCTATTCTGGTCACTGCCCCTCTGCTGTAAAAACTACGTATTAGGGACAATATTAGAGCTGTTTCTGGATAAGAAAATAAACCTAGGGACCACAGAGGTATTAAGATCTCGAAAAACCCTAGGGACCAGAAGCACATGCAAGACTTCACCCCAACACTCATCATGAATTCAAAAAGCATGGCTATTAACTGCTTCAAACAAACAGAGAGTAATGGCAACCAAAATACACTCAAAACAGGGTTTTTCCACTCTCTCTCTCTCTCGCCCAGCATTGGGCGCCAAGATTTTGTCGTGGTTTAGGGCAAATTTGAAGGAGAATTTCCAAATTAGGTCCCCTCCAGTAAGCAAACCCACACACCCCCTCCCCCCAACCGGTTCGGGAAGGATTCCTTGGAGAGGAGTGGAAAGAACCTGTTTATTTAACAGGAACAGCACCCCCAGCACACAGAATGAACAATACCGGATGACACCGCTCTGAAAAAGATGGCAAATTCAGAAAGTCTCTCTTGGGGGTGGTCGCTCTGTTCTCAGTCCCTCCGGCGCTGGGGCAGCTGCTGCAGGCCACAAGGTGCAGAATCTTGGTATTTTCCAGGTCCCAGTCCGGAGCAGGTTCGAAATGGTCAGAAAAAGGAAAGGAGAAACAGTCCAGGAAGAAATTGGACAGTTTAGCTAAACTAGCTAATGAGCAAAAGCAAGCAGAAGCGAAGCAAGCAAAAGCAAGAGAGAGCAAAGCGAAAAGCAAAAGCAGAAAAAGCAAAAGCTGCAGTCTCTGTGTCCCGCCAGGCTGATAAGAAAACCAAAACAAAACTTTCCCTCTTCAGAGCTGGTCTTAAAGTACAGAACATAATTATGCAACATTAACAGAACACATGAATGGGGATACAAGCATCATAACGTCAACCTAGGACAAATGGTCATCTCACGATCATGTCATTGTCACTTCATGGTCATCGCATGGCCACGGTCATGTCAGGGTCACCTCAAGGCCACGGTTGTGCCATGGCCAACCCACAGTCATCTCTTGGTCCAAATCATCTCATGGTCAGGGTTGTGGCCATGTCATGGTCATGCTCACAGTCATGGTCATCCCATGGTCATCTCAGGGTTGTGTCGCTCATGGTTATTCTCATCTCATGGCCATCTCGTGCTTGTGTCATGGCTGTGATCATGGCCAGGGAACCTCTCAGAGATCCCGAGCCCTGATTTTGGGACACTCAAGGACCACTGGGGACAAGGAGGCCTGGCCTGACCCCTCCCCCCATCCCACTGCCCCTCCAGGAGCCCAACGCAGCCAAACCCTCCTGGGGACACCTCAGACATGGGACACAGAGCAGGAAATGAATCCAGGGGGATGGAACTGGGTGTGGCTGACAAGTCCCCATCCTGCTCCTGGTGTCCCCATCCCAATCCTGATGTCCCCATCCCAGTTCCTGGTGTTCCCATCCTGCTTCTGCTGCCCCTATCCCAGTTCCTGCTCCCAGTGTCTCCATTTCTGTCCCCATGACCCCATTCCCATTCCTGGCTCCTGTCACAGTGCCGGATTTCTTCTGCCCGACCAGCTCCCAACACCGACAGCACAGGTGGGCCACCCCCAGAAAGCTGTCAAATCCGGGGTGCAGCTGCAGGGTACGGCAGCTCTACAGCTCAGGTGCACTGCAGACTGTGCCGAGGGTAGAGACAAGGATCAGGGAGAGGCCTTCTGCATGGTTTCCAAAGAAGCTTATTCCCAGAGGTTCAGGGACAGAAAGGCAAACTCAAAGGCATACATCAACTTATAAGGGGGAGAAGGTCCCAGGGGAAGATACAATCTTTGACCAACCAGGAGAAACTGGGGGTGGACCACTGTCGGGTTCGGCTGTCTGTCTCTGCCCCAACACAGGTAGGGTGGTTCTTGGGTGGCACGTGTTTCAAAGGACGAATCTGGACTCTTCAGCTTTTCAATCTTCAGATTGTTTATTGTTTCTTATCTACAAAATTTTCTGTCTGCCCAACAGAGGTCTGATCTGCAAGGCAGCCAAGGGCACTCGTGACCACCCACAGGGCGGTCGTGTCTTTTTATACTAAAATCTATGTACATGATATTTACTTTTATTTTCCAATACTTTTCACCCATGTTGGCAAGTGCACCTTCACCATAAACCAATCCCCAAGTGCCAACATCACCACAGGAGATGGAAGACAAGAAGAAGAAAGAAGAAGGACGAGACACGCCCTGATCCCTCCATCTTGTCTCCATAACCTCCCTGTACCAAAAACCTTAAAGTTTATATTTCACTCTATAAATGTGTCCCTTTCACACCCTTCACTCTAAAGTGATTCTCATGTCGTCAAACTGCTGTCACTTCTGGGAATGGATCAAAATCAAGCCACCAAGCACTCTTGGCAACATTCCAGGATTTCCAAGACCCCCAAGGGTTCTCTTGGCATCTCTGGACATCGGGAACGATGTGCTGAGTTCCCACATCTCCCCCTTCTGTTTGCACCAAGAATACTTCTTTGGCAACTTGACTCATGACACGTCGCACACATAAAAAGATGCATGGGATGATGAGCATGAGGACTAAGAGTATTATTGGAATATAAAATCCCATTTTTAAAAACCCTCTCCATAAGGGAGAAAGATCAAAAAATCCCACCACATCATCAATCCATGACCCAGTGATTTCGCTGAGTTTCTTTATACTGTCTTTTATTTTTTGAATACTTTCATGAATTGATCTTGAATGATCTGAGAGATTCATGCAGCACATTCCCTCAAACTCTTCACATCCATGTCCATGAGCAAGCAATAGATAATCGATTGCTGCTCTGTTTTGAAGAGTTGCCTCTCTCACACTACTTATGTCTTTTAACATATCACTCAAAGCGAGAGAGACTGATTGAGCATGCTTGCTCAACCAACAACCCATGTGGTCCAGTTGAGTCAAGGCCACCCCCGACGCTGTCTGAGGTGAGAAAATTGCTGCTGCAATTCTCCTTGCCTTGTCCCAGGTGTATACTTCATCATAACAGTTTGCACTGTAATGTTGCAAGGACCTTTTCTCTTTATGTTTTTGCTCTCTCAAATCTGGTGATAACATTGAAATCCTCCCAATGCTGCATGGACTTCCCTTGGCATTTGCAGGAATGCTGTGCCAAATTCTGTCCCCACAAATTAAAAACAACCCATGTGGCAATTGCACTGGGACCTGGATTGATCCTTTGGCTGTTGTCTCGGTGTGATTGCACTAAGCTGACGCGTTTCTATAAAACTTGTGATTTGGAGTGACATCAATGCTTTTGTTTGTCCTTGACACATTTGAAATTTCGAATTTCATGCATAGTTTCATTGTTGTGGACCCGAAAATTTCCAATTCCTGCGGTTCGGTAGAAGCCACAGGTAAAAGATGTGTCCAAGCACACCATTCATTCACAGGATCTTTGATGACCTGCGAAATCTCCATTGGATGATGCCCTGGAATTGGCCACTCGTCCACTGGCAACCCAACCATGCATGCTGTGAATGGTTTCCCTGGTTTCGAATGTGTCAGGCAGATACTTTCTAAGTTCGCTGCCTGGGCTAAAGTTTCCCAAACATTTTGTTTTGGTTGATTGATTGGTAAATTTGCTCCATTGCTTAAAGCAACAGATGAAAGCATGAGCATCATGAAGCTCATGACTTCATCCTTATGAAAAATCATTGTCATGCTCTCACTCAAAGCCACAAAGGAAAAACCCCCAAAGTTTTTATTCTTTTTGTCCCTCTTCTGAGTCGTTGCTCACAACTTGAATTTCTTCCTCTGTCTGCGTGCTCATTTCTCTGCTTCTGGGATCAGTGCCCTCTCGCTCTCTTGTCCGAAATGGCTTCACGTGTCGCGCTGACACCCACTTCAGACCTCGCCCTGTGGAAACACAAGCGAAACCCTTGCCTCAAGTGATTAGTTTGAAAGGACCCTCTATTTGTCCTGTCTCTGGGTTTTTGATCAAAACCAAAGGATTCTCCCTTAGTTTTGCCTGAGAGCTGTTTCAAAAATGCCTCACAATTGGTGGATTGGGTTCAGAAGACAAACTGTTAAGAAAATTCAACACATACAATGCTTTGTTTAACTTCATGTGTGGTGTCGCCTCTGGCTCCCCCCTTTTCTGCCTGTCCAAAAGGGATTTCAGGGTGTGGTGTGTTCTTTCAATGATTGTCTGACCCGTGAGTGAATGTGGAATGCCAAATGTGTGTCTGACACCCCATCTTTTCAGGAATCTGTCAAGCACCCTGCCTGTATATGTTGGACCATTATCTGTTTTTATTTCTTGAGGTACACCTAATGATGCAAATGCTTGCAGGAAATGTCGACAAGCATGTTCTGCTGTTTCCCCTGCATGTGCTGAAGCAAAGACTGCCCCTGAGAATGTATCTACTGAAACATGAACATTTTTGAGTCTCCCAAATGATGGATATTTTGTGACATCTCTTTGCCACAGCTGAAGACTTTGCAGTCCTCGTGGGTTGACTGCTCCTGTCGAAGCAGGTGGTTGCACGAGTTGACAGTCTGGACAAGCACTAATGATTTCCCTCGCCTGAGTTTTTGTGAGACGAAAGGATTCCATCAGCGCCTGCGCATTCTGATGAAAAAATGCATGACTCAGTCGTGCTTGCTCAAAAATGTCCGGAAGTGTTTGTGAAATGGTCATTGTCAATCTGTCTGCCTGAGCATTCCCTTCCGCTAGAAATCCTGGAAGTGTTGTGTGCGCTCTGATGTGAGTGATGAAATATTCTTCTTTCCTGCTTTCTAGCAGTGTTTTCATGCTTGCCAGATAGGAATATAAAACTTCGTTGCTGACTTCTTTCAAGAGCGAACCTTCCAATCGTTTGACCACACCTGCAACATATGCAGAGTCCGTGACCAAATTGAGCGGTTGTTGGAACAACTGAAATGCTCGGACAACAGCTGCCAATTCCACAATTTGTGGAGAGCCTTGAACCGTCTTCACGTTTGATTCCCATTCCCCTGTCGTTGAGTTCATCCACGTGATCACTGACTTGTGTGTCTTTCCTGAGGCATCAGTGAACACTGTGATCCCATCCAGAGGTTCTTCACTTATTTTTGGCTTTGCTCTGTAGCATATTTGCGACTGCAACATTCTATGTTGTGGAAAGTTGATGGTGCAAGCTCCTGGAAAAGCTAACAAGGCAATTAACAAATCTTTTGATTTCTGCATCGCCCAATCAAAATAATCTTTCTTCAAAGGCAGATAAATCTTTGAAAATTCTCGTCCCGCCATTGTCAGCAATCTTGTTCTCCCCTTTATGATGATCTGTGCTGCCATCTCCAAATCTGTCAGAATTGTCTTTGAAGGCCTATACGGTAAGAAAATCCACTCTATGATTATCAAAGGATCTCTCTGAGACGCATCCCATTGGAAGATCAAACCATGGAATTGTGCTTTCTTTCCCAACACTGCTAATTGGAAAGGCAACGATTCAACGAATCGATGTGCCCGTCTCTTCTGAATGGCATCTGTAACTTTTTCCGACTCCTTCTTTGCTTCCTCTGTGAGCGTCCTGGGAGATCGAATGTCTGCCTCTCCTCTCAAGAGATCAAGCAATGCTGGAATGTCATTGTTTGTGATTCCCAAAATTGACCTCATCCAATTGATCTCTCCTAGAAGTTGTTGTAAATCATGCAGATTGTTGACTTTTGTGCTGATTTCCATCTTTTGAGGCCTTATTGTT